AGGTGGCTAATTAAGACGGGTGTTGGTGAGGGGAGAGTGTGGCCTGCCAGGTCCCAGGTGCAATCCCAAACTCTTGGTGACCTATAGAGTTGTGTGCAGTCTCAAACCCTCACAGGAATCCACACACACTTGGCCTGACACCTTTAATGCCCTGCATTCCAGCTTACAGCAGTACTCCCCACCTACTCTGCACATCCAAAGGGTTCACGCACTTAGCATCTTGCAATGTAACCCTTCCTTAGTCGGCTACCCCACCGCAACCACCTCCTGCTTGAAAGGGCCAAGTAGGGAGAACAAGTTATGGAAGACAGTAAGCCGTAACCAGACAAAACCAGCAGGCTCCATGTTCACTTTCATAATAACGGACTTGTCTATAACACTTAATAGTTTACAACACACTTTCATATATACTGACTTCACAACAGGCCCAAGGGGTAGGATTTTTATCCCTATTTGGCAGAAAAGGAAACAAGCTCAGAGAGGCCAGTAAGAAGTAACACAAAGATACGGATTTAGGTATTCTGATTATAATTCTGATACACTTTTCACTACACTGCCCAACTAAGACGCTTGCCAACCAGCTCCCCTTATGCCTGACACCGCTGTCCTGTCCTTGATTTAGTCCCTGAAAGAGGGTGGGTGAGGAATTGAAGGACAGAAAGAAGATGCGGTGGGAGGAGGGAGTGAAGAGGAAAACATTGGGTAGTTTGATGGAATCATTTTGTTTCAGGACTTAAACCTTTCTGGCCCTGCCTATTGCCTCTTCTCCTGTTTATGTTACTGATACTAATTTGTGACGGACGGGGGATTTTAATATATGAATGTGTAGCTGGAGATAAGAGAACTAGAGTTGGGATTACCCACTGGAAACTGTAAAATAGCCCAAAAGATAACTAGCAGTGAGTGTTTACTATGCGCAAGGTAACCATTCTACATATATTCTAAGCATTCTATATGTATATTAGCTCATTCAATTTTCACAACACAAGAGGTAGGTGTGTGGTTATTTATCCCCATTTTACAGATGAGGAAACAGGCAGAGGGAGCTTAAGTAACTGGCCAAAGGTTACACAGCTAGTAAGCCGCAAAGGTGGAAGCCCTGCGGTCTGACTTGAGCGGTAAGATGGTGCCACTTATGCGGTCATAGACTCTAGTTACACACGAATGTAAATCATTCTGTAGGGCTGAAGGGAGGTTTTTCACTTGTGTTCGTACTACGACTGCCTCTTTCTTTTGGTGGAAAGAGGAACTATGTCTTTTCCTATCCCCACGCAAAAGGCGGCACGTCAAAGCATTTATTCCTTAATAAACATATTGATCAACCACCACCCCCGCCCCTGGAGTGAAAATGTGAAGACTCCGCCTTCCCCTGATATTTATTCATAATCCAGGCCCCGCCCTTTGTCTTTTTTTTTTTTTTTTACCGCGCAGGATCAGACTTGTGCTCTGAAGACTCCAGCACACTCATGTGCGTCTTGTGGTTTTGTCACATACAGGGACGCGCCAATCCGAGGCTGCTAATTTTCATACTGCATTTCTAGCATGTTCACACCCCATCAGGAGGGGATGTGTACTAGCGGACGCACTTGCAAAGATGAGCATGTTTGCTAGGTGGTGGTATGCGCAACCGGGGGCCTCTATGGCCAGCCTAAATAGCTTAGTCTTGCTTCTCTGGGTGTTCCCGAATGTGATGCAATAGTAGCAAACGAGAGCGTCATCATGAGGTCATTGCTGGAAAACGGGAAAGGGGCGGGAGGGCCGTCCCTTGAGGGGAGGAGCCCTTTCACCTGGCCCCTTGAAGCACCTTCTCTTCACCGGAGTTTCCCGGGAGCCTCCTCCGTCGGATAAGTCCTCTTGCAGCCGCCACCACAGAAAACTCCGTTTTCAATCCGGGGTTTTGAAATTTAGGCTTCAGTCCCTATGAGACTCTCTGGAAGCCCTGCCCCCAGTTTTAAGTTTCATCCAATAAAGAACCTAAAGGAGGGGCCGGCAGGCGGGTCAGTGACGCGATGCAGATTGATTGGCATTCAGGCCACCGACGTCCTAGATTAGTGCCGAGTTTCGCCAATCCAAAGGCGGGGGTGGGACGGGGCAGGCGCAGAGGATTGGGTTTGGCTGGACTCGATTTAAAGAGACAGAAGCTGTCGAGGTCCAAGAAGACGGTCCGCGAGACCCTCCCCCCAAGTCCTTGGGACCACTTGGGTCCCCAAAGCTGGGGAGATGGTTTGCGGAGGCTTTGCCTGCTCCAAGAATGCGCTCTGCGCACTCAACGTGGTCTACATGGTGAGGTTTTGGAGGTGGGGGGGGAGCTCCAGGGCCGAAAGGCCAGTGGAGAGAATGTCTAGGGGACTTCGGATGGGGAGAGGGATGTACTGGGGTTCCGGGAAGATTCCCGGGAACTTCCGGCGACGAGGGGATTCCTGGAGACTTCCGTGGGAAGAGCGGAGACTTCCGGTGATCAGAGCGTTTATCTAGGGGTGGGGGGTGATGAAGTGAAGGCTCATCGTGGGGCTCAAGGCCCAGCCCTCCCTCTTCTGAATTTAGGCTTCTCCCAAATGGAAGTGATGGATGAAGCTAAGTGTTCCATTTTATATTCATACACTTGACGCTCCCTGCGGCCTCTCAGCCCTGCTCCAGCCGTCCTCACCTCTGACGGGAGGGGTGTCCGGGGATGGTCCTGGTCCTGGTCGTACCTCCTCGCGCGCGCTCACGCAAAACTCAGCTCTCCTTTAGTGTCCAGCGCGGCTCTCACCTCGGCCCCTGGCGGTGACGCACACTGGCATTCTTTTGAGATGCATCCTGCTGTCTCTCGTAGCTGGTAGGCTTACTGCTCATTGGAGTGGCTGCGTGGGCTAAGGGCCTGGGGCTGGTGTCCAGCATCCATATCATCGGAGGAGCCATTGCGGTGGGGGTCTTCCTTCTTCTCATCGCGGTTGCTGGCCTGGTAGGTGCTGTCAACCACCACCAAGTGCTGCTTTTCTTTGTATCCTGACCTGAAGTGACTGGGGCACCCGGGCTCTTGCGAGCACTGTCTTAGCCAGTCAGGAGGTGGGCAGGAGACCTCCGGTGTTTGGGGGGGTTTGTCTCCTTGCCCTCCCTTACCATACTCTGTGAAACAAAAGCCAGTGATTTTGTTTTCAGCTGACATAACTGTGTAAGTTCTTTGACTAGATCAGATTGTTACTATAGGTGGACCATAAAGGAATCTGGGAATTTTTTTTTCCATAACTTTTCCTCTCAGTACATGATCATCCTTGGTTTGGTCTTCATCTTCCAGTTTGGAATCTCTTGCTCATGTCTGGCTATTAACCTAAGCAAACAGGTAAGAAGGTGCCCTTTCAAGTACTCACTTTCCCCCCAACCCTCTAACCTCTTGACTCCTTACTCAATCTGGCTCCAAAGATCATACTTAGAGCCACTACTTCCAGAGCTGTTTGCTTCCTTTGGGATGTCCGGCTGACCGACCGTGAGGACCATCCAGAAGGAAGTGGATAGTTACTGTGTCTGCACCTCTGCTTTTGAAGGATGTTAACTCCCTTTGCTTAAAAAGGGAAACTGAAGCACTGGAATCAGTGCTTTGATCTCTGGGATCAAAATGTAGGGGATTCTTAAGGTTAGCAGCATCAAATGATTTCCTTCTGCCTGTATCCTCCAGACAGATGTCATCAATGCTTCTTGGTGGGTCATGAGCAACAAGACCCGGGATGAACTGGAAAGAAGCTTTGATTGCTGTGGCTTGTTCAACCTTACAACCCTGGATCAACAAGATTATGCTTTCTGCACTGCAGTGAGCTGGCATGGGGGGGGGGGGGGGGTGGCAGTGGTTTGTGTGATAGAAAACTGGCTAAGGCCGATGCTCAAATTGGCAGATTTGGGCTTGTTATTGCCTGTCTTTAGCAGCTCACTTGTACTGGGGCTGTGTGCTGGTAGGAGTTGGGGGATGGATACAGATTCTAGAGAATTAGCCAAGTGAGAGTCCAGTCTATAGGATACTAATCAGGAACTGGAAAATAATTCCTAGGGTCATTCACCATAGTTACGATAGAGCACCGTAGCGTCAAACATGCATGTGTGTGTTTTTCCCTCAGGTCTGCAAGAGCCGGAGCCCCACATGTCAGATGTGTGGAGAAAAATTTCTTAAGCATTCAGATGAAGCCCTAAAAATCCTGGGGGGTGTTGGACTCTTCTTTAGCTTCACAGAGGTAACATTCTCTGGTTCCCTTGTATCCCTTATCCCTTTTCTACACCTCCAAGTCTTAGCCCCAGATTCATAGTTTGGGCGTATCTCTTTTCTCTTTGTGTCTACAGATCCTTGGTGTTTGGCTAGCGATGAGATTTCGGAATCAGAAGGATCCTCGAGCCAACCCCAGTGCCTTTCTATGAGACTCTGGGTCCTTCTGACATCTCTTCTGCTGTCTGCTCTCCCGAGGCTTTTTTTCCCTTTAGGGAAAACTCGGGGTCTCTAGCCCTTTTTGTTTGAGAAAAAGGAAAGGCCCTTTGCCATGTTCCCTAAAGATGACTGAACAGTTAGGCTTTATGCCTTGATGTTTTACTGGGAGAAAGATTATAACGAATAAAGAAAAACCCTTCTTCCTTCTTCTCTCCCTAAGTGGATATGGGGAGTTTCCAGGATTACGTGAGATGGGATGGGGGTTGGAGTCATTCCTGGCTGTTTCCCCTCTTCTCCCTTCCACATGCTCGACCACCTCAACACATCTTTGCTCCAAGGGTAAATCGGGGACAGATCCAGAGAGAAAACTAAGAACTCTTGTAATAAGGAGGACCTGGTTGGGGAAGTTCAGTGAATATAAAAATAAAAACCATTTAAACTCTATAATCAAAGAAGCCATGTAAGTGCCTTTTCTTCTCTTGTTAGTTGAGGGGCTCCACTGACTATGTAGACCCTGTGATCTAAAGATAATCTGCAAGGAAGTTCCATCTTCCAAATGGTTTTTTTCATATCCCCAAACAGTAAAGTCAATCAGAGGAAGAAACATTTAAAAAAAAAAAAAAAAAGACCATTATTTCTTTGTTTTGTTTGTCCTGTATAAAAAAGGATCCCAATATAAAGGTATAAAGAAGGGGAGCACAAGGGACATACCCCTTGGTGTAAGGACACAGGATAAGGATAAGCCTCAGAAAGGTGGGAGGGGAATGTCGTTAAGGCAGTAAAATATCGTCTGTAAAAAGTTGGAGTCGCCGCCACAGCTTCAGAGGTGAAGGCAGAGGTTGCCTTCTCAGTGGGGGGGCTCTCCACTCAAGTGTTCAAAGGAAGGGAAATTTGGTGGTCTCTCGCCTTGGTTCTGTTCCAGCCATTCCGCTGCTCACTCTGCGTCACCTTCTGCCTTGTGTAGATAAGGGTGCTGCAGCGCTCGGAAGGCGGAGATTCGCTTGTGTGGGTTAAAACTCAGCATCTCCTAAGAAGGGACACAAAAATCAGAAAACATGCAAGAAACAAAAAAGACTCCTGCTTACCTCCAACGATACCTAGAATGAGTGATTTTCTCTATCCCTCTTGTGGAGAGCCGTTCAAAACAGTAAAAAAAAAAAAAAAAAGAAACCAGCCCTTTCACTGACAAGTCTCTGTAACAACAATGCACTTGGGTTCCTTTTATCCTGCTCCATTTCCCCCTGTTGGTGGTTCAAGTGGTAAAATAAACTGCCTGCAATGCAGGAGACCTGGGTTCAATCCCTGGGTTCGTAAGACCCCCTGGAGAAGGAAACGGCAACCCACTCCGTGGGCTCCAGTCCATGGGGTTGTCCAGCGTCTGACACGACTGAGTGACAAACACGCGATCTGCCCCGGCGACCTCGCCCTGTGCCCGCGCCCGAGTCCATTACCAGCAGCAACTGTGCTCCAGATTCCTCCAGCTCAGGGACCACCGCCTGCACTGGCCGGGGCCCTCTGGGGGAAAAGGCTCCTCGGGGCAGAGACACATCTCGGGGCCAGTCATCCTCTGGGGGCAGTCCGATCAGGCTATGGGGAACAGGAGAATTCTGGTCAGGAAGGCCCTTTTCCAGCCCCCATCTCCTGGGGCAAAGCCAGCTGCTATCAAGGGCTCAGCAGAAAGAGGACTAGAAATGCAAAGTTCTTCCCCCTTGCAGGTCACTTACTCAAAGATTTTGCCTAACTGGTCAGCTTCAGAGTTTCCACAGAAGAGAGGCCTAAGGTGAAAAGAGACATTCATTCCGGTAGCAGTCTTTCAAAGACAGGGTGGTAGATAACTGCTTAGTGGCTCAAAACAGGGCGTAGAGAATAAAGGGCGATGAAATTCCTAATTCTGAAATTCCTAATTCAGAGTTTCCAGCTATGAACAAGGTGGCCAGTAGTAAGTGGAAGAGTGGGCAGGGTATGGGTGTGGTTTATGAATAAAAGACGGGAAATTCAAAATGTTTGGGATACTCGGGCCCCATACTTTCGACGAAACATCTCTGCGAAGATACAGCCAACGCTCCACATGTCCACGGGTGTTGCATATGTAGACTGCAACAGGACTTCTGGAGCGCGATACCAGAGTGTAACAACCTGGTAGGAATAAGTAGTGCGGATGAGAGTCCTGCAAGTTATTGCAAAGCACGTGAAAAAACACGTTCCTTCTCAACTGCTATGGGCAACCACTCTTCTCCCCCAGCCAGATCCCATCCTGGCCACCATCATTCTACTGACCACAGGGGTAAGTGCCATCTGGTAGCTGTAGATTCTGGCCAGGCCAAAGTCAGCCAGCTTGACTGTCCCACCACTTGTCACCAGAATGTTCTCTGGCTTCAGGTCTCGGTGAACAATGCAGTTGGCATGAAGGAAATCCAGGCCTCTTAGAAACTGGCGCATCAGATCCTGGTTTGGAAGGGGGAAGTACAGAGAAACTGGGAACCAGGTGCCACGCCTGAAATTACAACAAAAACTACCACGAAGGTCTCAAGCTACCTCTCAGGGTCTGCCCACCCTACTTACCTTTATGGTCTCCACTGGCAAGCCTGGTGGGGGTGCCTTGTCCAGATACGTCCTGAGGTCTTGGTCCACATGCTCAAACACCAGGGTCACTTTGGTCTCCCGGTCAGTCCGGGCTGTTGCACAGACATCCATGAGCCTGGCCAGAACAAGTGGTCACTCGCTGAGCAATGGTCTCAGACCGACCGACAGGGCCTCCCCTATCTCCTCGGGGTTCCCACGCCTCTTCTGACCACTACTCCATATCTACAGGTTAGATGTGAAGTCTTTTTCCTTTCACGACCCACTCCCACCCTTCCATCTGCTTCTCACCTGACAACATTGGGATGCTCAAAAGCCTCCAGGCGCCGCAGTAAGGCCACCTCCCGAACGGTGCTGATGGGCAGGCCCCCTCCAGCACCTCCTCCATTGGGGACTCTTACACTCTTGAGGGCCACAAAGTGGCCACTGTGGGGGTCACGGGCCTTGTACACTGTCCCATAGGCACCGACACCAATTTCAGCCACTGGCTCATATCGGGAGGTAGCCATTCTCAGGCCAGAGGAGAGCCTACAATCACAGAGACTCAATGAGCCTGCGGCAACAAAGCGACTCCCACGAAAGGCATCGCACAGACACCACCGACAGCATCCCCACACTTCCCCGAGGGCAGCCCCTAGGTAACACGATAGCCCCAAACCCTCCAGCCACGAGAGGCCCTATCACTTTCTCAAAAATGCGTTTTCCTTTGGGACCACCGAGCCCCACACAAGGGAAATCCCATACGACACACCCCCTACATCAAAGACCCGACACCCAGTTCCTGAAATTACACCTCCCATCGGCCACAAAGGAACATTATCACATCCTGCCCCACTTCCCGCCCTCGAGCAATCCTTCTATAACCAGCCCGCGTAGAAAGCAGCGGGGGGCGAGAATGGTCCCCATTCCTGAAAGGGGCTACGCTCACCTCGCCCCGTGTCAGGAGCTGCGGGGTCGGCCCGTTACCCGGACCCCGGAGCCGGTTCCTGCAGCGCCATACACTCGAGGTCTGTCCTGGGCAGCTGGACGCTAAGGGCCCGACCATAGACACAGGCCGCAGGCTAGAGCGGCCCCCTTTACCCCCACCCTCACCATGTGACCAGCTGCCAAAGAGGCGCGCGGAAATCGGAGGGGCGGGGCGAACGCCGGACGTTCTGACCACGTGACCAGGCTGCTCATGCGCAGAGGGGCAGCCGGGAAAGCGGCTTTGAACGCGAAAGGGGCGAGGAGGGGAAAGAGGCGGAGGAGATGATACCACGTGATCTGTTGCTATCACACGTGACCGCTTGACATTGCTTGGAGGAGCAGAGGTGTGGTTACGCTGAAGGGCACGTGACTGGCTGCCTTAACTCTGGCTGGGGCTGGTGGGCCGGAGGGGCGGGAGAGAGGGTGGAGTCCAATGCGGTGCCATGGCAACCTGGGCCACCCAGGATTCCCAACTCTGGGCTGCAGGCCGAGCCTGAGTCTCACTACCCGTCTCTCACTCTCTTTAAGCGGGGAGGTGGGTCGAGGGACGGGAGGAGGTGCTGTCGTCTTTCTGCTCCATCGCCAGCGGAAAACATGTTCTCATTTGTGTCTTTGTTTCATTCATTCATTCAGCAAATGTTTACTGAGTCCTTGCTTCCTGTGTGTATGTGGGGTTTCTTTTTTTAAATTTTTTTTCGTGTCTCACTTGACCTTTTTTTCAACTAGTGATAAAGTTACCTATATAGTCCCATATTTTATATGTGGTCGTGTAAAATAGGGAGTAGACAGTGCCCAGTTCAGTTCAGTTGCTCAGTCATGTCTGACTCTTAGCGACCCCATGGACTACAGCACGCAAAGTTTCCCTGTCCATCACCAACTCCCGGAGCTTATTCAAACTCATGTCCATCGAGTCAGTGATGCCATCCAACCATCTCGTCCTCAGTCGTTTCCTTCTTCTCCCGCCTTCAATCTTTCCCAGCATCAGGGTCTTTTCTAGTGAGTCAGTTCTTTGCATCAGGTGACCAAAGTATTGGAGTTTCAGCTTCAGCATCAGTCCTTCCAGTGAATATTCAGGACTGATTTCCTTTAGGATAGACTGGTTGGATCTTGTTGCAGTCCAAGGGGCTGCCCGTCTGAGGACGAAACTAGTATTAAAAGACCGATGGAAGGCAGGTTAGTACAATAATCCAACAGGACGTGTGGCAAGCTAATGTTGTCCCCTCTTCCCAACTTCCACCTTTTCCTGGGAGTGTTAAAGCAGAGACCAGATACCTTCTGGCAGAGAAATTATTGATGAGCTGGAAAGAGGAATACTTGACCTTTAAGGCTCTTTTCTGCAGTAAGATGGTATGACATGTGTGTATGATATTATATACATCACATATAGAGAGACAAAGGAGTGAGCATGAGCAAGGAAGTTATCACCACACTGCATGAAAATGAGTGTTCCCTTCTGCAAACCTTGTGACTCCTTATATGGTGTCATTGCATTTCTCTTTTTTCCCCTATGGCAAGCTTTCCTAGACCTTACCCTAAGAGATTTTTCCCAAACAACCTCTGCTCACAGACATCTCGGTAGACAACAGGCAAGTTTCTCTGACTTCCCTTGTCTTACTGATTCCAACTTCTTTGTCTCCCAACCCTTTGAGAGAATGGGAATAAGGAAAAGAAGGGATCAGTTTCTCATTTATGATAAACTGTCTAAAATCTCAAACCATTCTTCTACTCTATTTGCTCTCCTTGTGCCCTAACTTCTGTTCTCCTTAATCATCTGGCTGAGGATATGAGTTCAAGCTTGAGATTCATATAAACCATGCTCCAGGGCGAAATGGAAGACATGTCAGTACAGATTTCCCCTCTTTGCATTCTGATAGTTGTAGTCC